TCCCTCAGTGCCTGGATAAAGCATCTCCCAAAGTAGATATTTAACAAATATTTAACCCATTCATGAAATCTGTGTAATGATCTGAATATTGAATTCAAATACTCACATGTTACAATCCTAATCCTTAGGAATGACACTAAGAGATGGAGTCATTGGGTGGGAATAAGGTCATCAGATTGGAGAACTTATCAGAAGGGTTAGTGCCCTTACCTATCTAGTTCCTAGAGAGATGCTCACACCTTCTGCAGAATATGGTCAGAAGATTGCCTCTCAGCAGTCCTCTGTAGACACAGTGTGTTGATGCCTTGAACTCAAACTGCTGCTTCCAAAAGTATGGGAAACTGTCATTGTACATAGGCCATCTATCTGCCTTGTATATTTTGTTACAGCTACTCAGATTGCATGAGAGCTTCTACTGGCATGGAGACACCAGACACTAAGCCCATGTTCCCCCAACCTAGATGTCTCTGTTGTACAAGGATGCCTCATCTACACACCGGACAAGAGGCTGAGGTGCTTAGGGAAGCAGGCAGAAGGGCAAGGAACCTTTCCTGAGGTGAAGCATTTAAGTAAATATGTAATCAAAACAAACCAATAGGTGCAGATGTAGCTAAACAAAAGGCTCACCCAAGGACTGCAGAGTGGAAAGGCAAAAGTCAAGAAACACGAACACACTGGGGAAAATACTTTATCTTTTGTTGCTCTGAAAACCCAGTCTATTTTTTAGTTTTATTTATCTGCATGTGTGCTGTGGGGTTCACATGAGTACAGTATCAACAAAGCCCATAAGAAGGTGTGTCAGATTCCGGGAGTTAAAGTTACAGGCATCTGTGAGCTGCCTGATGTACAGGGAACCCAACTATGGTCTTCTGCAAGAGAAGCATATGTGCTCAACCAATGAGCCATCTATTCATCCCAAAAATTAAATTTAAAAGTAAAATATATTCATGAGCCTGAAACTATTCTGTGTTCTTAGTACCATACAGCTATTACACTGGCAAGATGTAAATTTCAGGGAATTCTAATTATGTCAATATTAAGTAATAGCACCATCAAATCCTTTCTTAATCAAATGAGCTATAAATAATTAAGGAAGCATGTACAGACACTTAAGAATATTCAAATTTTATAAATATTAATTAGTTATAGACATTCTGGAAGTATAATTCTTGATTGGAGAAAGTACTAGAAAGAGGCAACATAGAGCAACTACAAAGAGTGAGTGAGGTCAGGGGTTAGAAAGGAAGAGGGAAGCCAGACATGGGACGCCTTATTCTAGAAAACATAGAGAGCAGTGTTAGAGTCGATGAAGATCCATGAGGAAGTGATGGTGGGCTACCTGGGGTCTGAGGTTGAGATGGGAAGACAGGAGGACCAGAGTCAGAGAAAACAGCCAGAAACTTTACAGAATCTCAGTGTCGTGGAGGTCTCAAGCTCAGTAATCCCTGGGTATCATTGGTGAGTCAGTGCCACACATCCCAACATTCTCAGACATTCAACATCCTCAGATAACATGATGTCAATTTGCATACAACCTGTGCACATCCTGCCACACACTTCATATCATCTCTGGATTATTTACATCAGACAAAGTGAACAGTCATTACCCTGTACTGTTCAGAAATAATGACAAGAAAACAAAGCCATCCATGTTTAGTTCAGACACAGTATTTTTCTATTTTCAATCCACAGACACTAAAAAGTGTGGATGCCACACCTATGACTATGGAAGGATGGCTATATTTGCTGAGAATCAGCTAGGCATGGGATGCTGCAAGTACAGGTGTAAGAAGAGGAGACACTATATCCAGAGAATGAGCAGAATTTAAAGTTTTTAGTGCAGCAAGAAGTGTAAAGAAACTTTGTCTCCCCCCCCCTCACTTCATCACATCTTGATTGTACTAGATTGTACTAGCAACTAGTACTTTCCAGATGTAAAAACCAAACACCAGTACATTCTAAGAATAATCATGACCATATTATCTTCTACAAGTTAATCTAGAACTTTCCTTGTCTCATCCAGGAGATGTATATAAGGTTTCTTTCCCAGGGCATGTTTGAACTACAGCAGAAGATGAAGAAAAAGTAATACTGTGTTAGCAGGGGGAAAGGATGATGACAGAAACTAGCCAAAAGGAAAAGGGTGATGGGGACTGGGGAGGAGGCAAGAAGAAAAGTGCCATCCTATGCTACGCATGGAGACGCCAAAACCAAATACCAACTGCCCAACAACCTCATGGCAGAATCATTATCACTACTTCCCTGACAGCATTCAAAACAATAGGTGCTGGTTGTTATCTGCCTGGTGTGTTAATTCATAAAACTGGCAGAATAACACTAGAAGCAGGCACCTTTTTTAAATCCTCCACTTTTTCAATCAGAACACTGAGCTTCATCTGTACCCAAAGCCATAGCAGAGGCAGAGGCTAGGATCTCAGAAGAGGGAAAGATATTTTCTCAGAAGCTGTTGGCTATGGATGAATTTAGGCTTCTGTTTCTCAATAAAAGGGCCTAATGAAAAAGGAGTAAGAGGCCCATTGTTTTTGAATAAAGTGAATTAATGGCTGTATCCATCCTGCTACCAAAAATCAATGGAAATCTCTACAATGTGTTTATTAAATCAGCTAAAATAACATTGATTGAATGTAACTCTGCCCAATGCACAGTGTGAGGCAGCAGATAAAAGCACTCTGCTTTAATCCTTGGTTCATCCAACCGTTTAGATGGATGAAGCACATGAACTGGCATCTATGATGTGCAGGCAAGCTTTCCTTGAAACTTCCACCCTCTAGCTGAGAGCCATGAAGAGCAAGGCTTAATTTGGTTTCAAGCATTGGCCAGTACTGGTAAAAATCCCACCCACCCACCCCTGGTTCAGGAATGGCTATGGTTTGGGACTGTGAGACAGCAGGTGTGGGTGTCAGAGGGTTAGAGGAAGAAATGTGCTCTTTTTCTCAAGACAGTATTTCCTTTGCCTCTCCAACACCAAACTGGAAGTACACTACAAAGTATGTAACACAGGGTCCTGGCAAGAGATAGCTCAGGTCCTAAAGAGAAACCAGATTATGGGAATCTGACCACATAGAAGGTAGAGAGAGAGAAAAAAGTTGATCCTCCAAGTACAATTAAGACACTGTGCTAAATTTTATGTTAGACCTCCATTTATGTGATGTTTAAGGCATGGATACATCACTCTACCCATTCCACCCCTGCCATCTCTCTCTCCTGGGACACGTGTACCATTTTAAAGTCACGTCTCTTACTATGTTCCAATAAAAGAAGCCACAAACCTAATTACAATTCTTGTACAATTCTCAGCCTTCTGTAGAGTATATTAAAGTTATTTCAATGGGCTCTAAAATAAACAAATTGAAGATCCCCAAATTCTCCGTAGTCATAGGGAATACTCTTGAGGGATTTACAGCTTCAAGGGGAGGTTACGAGTGTATCCGGCCACAAGAAACTTCAATGATGAGTTCCCCCAAATCATCATCACTCCCAATGTTCATGCTACTTACTCATGGGAAGGTGAGCATATGACCTGCTGAAGGGGCAGATGAGATGGGACCATAGAAAGAATGAACATAAAGAGAAAATTAAGGTGTCACACTGTCTTGATACATGTGAAACTTGTTCCACCTTATAACACACCTCTGGTAAAACGTATAGTTTGTCTGCAGTCAATCCACATCATATCACGCAAAGAAGTTACACTGTGGTTTTAAAAAGATACCACACTAGGTTAAAAACGCACCAAACTCAAGTTTTTCTCCTCTCTCTCTTCTCTCTGGCTTGTTTGTTTGTTTTGCTGTTGTTGATTTGTTAAGAATTTCAATGCCATTAATTCTACATTTGCAAGGAAATGCACTTTTAGAAAATGTACTCTCTAGAATTTTGGTGCCAGGAAATCTTCATCCTGATAACAGTTGTGGGTAAATAGTAAATCTGGACTTCTACGAAGCTTCAGTATCCCTGGGCTTGTTCAGAGGAATGTGAATGCCAGCCCCATGAAAGCACCAAATTGCATGTGCTTAATTTTAATGGCATATCAAAGTGCTCATCTGACAAAAACATTAAAAATTCTAACTGGGACAATTATGAATAAATTGTTTTATGACTCTATAAATTTTAATGATGTTTAATTATATTTTAAAGGATTTCCAAATATTTTGACTACCTATTCTTCTTCACATTAAAAATATTCTATCATTTTTTAAAATTTGGATATACTTTCCTATTCCATCAGAATTCAGTCATCTAATTAATAGTGATTTATTAATAGATATCAGGTATCTACTATGTATCAGGCATTAAACCAAATGAGAGAGACTCAAAACCCAGAAAGGTGATAGTCCTGTCTTTGAAACCAACCCCAGTTACCACTCAATAGGATATGGTACAGGAAACATGCTAACTGCCATGGAAGCAGTGGTTTGCAATATGGTAAAACCAGACTGACCCAAGTTCTTGGTAAGAGACATGAAAAAGGCTATTAAATAGCTCAGGTCAAAACTAAGGAATACCTATGCTTGCACAGAGCCAATAGAATATGTTATAAACCACCTCAAATGTTGCTCAAATATATATATAATATATATAATATATATATATATATATATATATATATATATATATATATATATATATATATAAGTTGGCAAATCAGATCCTACAAACACTACAGGAAGACATTAGAACAACCACTGACAAACCAAAGCTGAAAGGAGAGGGACTTTATAATACTAACTTGAGAACCAAGAAGGAAATAAGTAATACTGGCTATTATTGGAGCCTTGCAATAGCCACCTCCCCTAACCAAGGCACAACTACTTCCTCACTCAGAGAAGGGTCTATCCACAAAGCATCATTGGCTTTAGGTCAATTTCATTAAAAATTAAAAGTTCTGACTAGGAAGCATGCTGTAAAACTGCTGTAACTATTACAGGACATCATCAAATAGATAATCCCATTTTCCATAGAAACTTAGCCATGGTCCTTACCCAGCAACTCATACAGAGAATTCAGAATGGATTTCCAAGATTCCCCTGCTTCTCGGCCCGCGACATCTGCAAAGTGGGCTGCACTACTGTAGACATGCAGGCGGTCAATGCACTCCAGAACCAAGTTGATCATTCCCTGGGAGAAGGGGTAAAAATAAATCACCGTCAGAAGCTAATTCTGAGCTAGGCATGGTAGTTCACCTGTACAATCCCAGCACACAGGAGGCTGGTGCAGGAGGACAACTGCAAGTTCAAGGTAGTCTGAACTACAGATAAGACTGTGTCCCAAAAGAAAGAAACAAATTGTGCTCAGGACAAAAGGAAAAAGAGGACAAATTGATTTTAAAGAGAAGTCTAGTTCATTATAAAGAAAACTCAGATCATTTATTCAAAGGACAAGAAGAAACATGTCTGCCTGAGAAATGATCTTCAGATAACTTAGGGTTTCAATCTTGGTTTTCATTCTCAAACAAAAGTGAAAGAAAATTGCAAAATTATTTCTTCACACTTACCTTGCAAGGTTTAACAGTGGTTGGCATGAACAGGTCATGAGTGGTATTCTACTATTAGTGACTTCATCCTTGGTTTTAATAAGTATTACTGTAACTACTAAATTAAAGATACATTGAATAAAGTGAAAGAAAGCCACCGAAAAGAAATTTTAGAGCAAGTAAAAAATTTCATTTACAGGAAATAGCCTATGGAGTCTTCATCGTTATTGCTGGGTCCAGGCTTGCAAAATGAGACAGCACCATGAAAACAAAAGTTATAAAATATTGAGTAATCAAATTCACTCATTGGACACAATTTTAGCAGCAGCCATGGATCTCAGCTAGGTCCTTTCTGGATGGTCTTATGTGACAAAATGACAAAGAATCAAAAGCCTTATTCACATTAGACTGAAAACATTTAAATTCATATTTTAAATTTTCATAGCCTAATATTTATGTGAAATTCCTCCAAATATGAAATAACCATTGTACAGGAACTGTACAGGAACCATTGTACAGGTTCAATAATCTGGCATATGTGAACCTAAGAACTCCTTACAATTAATCCCTCTTGTTCTTACTATTGGTTTGTGTAAATGTTCCTGTTGATGATCATAGATTATTTCTTTTATTTACACAAAGAAACTGCTGCAAAATTTAGTATCAGTTTCAAAAGGATCAGGAAAAAAAACAGTTTCAAAAGTACAGCATAGATTTTGGGATTATGGAAACTCAACAACATCCTCTATGCTTTTTCCTTAGATGCTTTTACAAGGTACTTCATTCTTGTAAAAAAGAAAGAGACATGCATATGTCTGTGTGGGTATGTGATATGCATGTGCCTGCAGTACTTTCAGAGGCCACAGGGGGCACCTTATCCCTTAGAACTAGAGCTAACAGGTAGTAAGCCTCCTGGCATGGGTACTAGGAACCAAAGAGCTTAGTATATGCTCTTAACCTCTAAGCCATATCTCTAGCCTAAGTTAATTCTTAAAAAAAAAAATCACCACGCCCATGTTGGGAACATTTAGAGTTGAAATGTCTCCTGAGACCCTCGCTGGCTCTATCATCTCCAACACCCTCACTTAAAGGCTTGAAACCTGTAGTTCTAACATTGACAACCATCTCAGGCCATTAGGCTGGCAAACTGGTTGTTGCTTGACTCTGGCATAACAGGTGGTACATGAGTTGCTTTTTTTTTTAAGCAGTGGAACATTTATTAGAATAAATTATATTTTATATAATTTATTATATATCAAAGGCACACATGAGACTGGGGACAGCTAAATGACAGATCCCTCACTTGTGCAGCACACAAAAGTACCTGGGCTTGTCTCCAGCACCACACACACACACACACACACACACACACATGCACACACATGCACACACCCACACATGCACGCACAGGCACACACACACACAATGTAATATATGCAAAATGAAAGGGTGTGGGTACTTTGTTCATACAGGAAACTGGAGTACACCTCCTCCTCCATCTCCTCTATTGCTTCTATTCCAAGCCCAGAGCACTCTTGGCCTGCGGCTCTTTCAAGGAGTTTCCTATAGCCTACTATATAGTTTGCAAGGTCTGATGAGGTGTGTGTGTGTGTGTGTGTGTGTGTGTGTGTGTGTGTGTGTGTGTGTGTGTGTCTGTGTGTCTGTGTCTGTGTGTGTGTGTTTGTGTGTGTGTGTATCTGTGTGTGTGTGTTTGTGTGTGTTCTGTATTTATGGAGCCAATATAAAACAGTGTGATCAAAGTGTGTTCATTTGCTCAGCTTATGGGGCTGTGTTTTTAAACTCATAGCTTTGAATGTGGCTAAGAAGCACCTTAAAACAAAATGCTGCAAACTCAAACCCGTTAAAGTCAAGTCTAAGAATAACATGGAACTACCTCTACTGGAGCCCACCCAGCAGTGCTCTACTGCAGTGGTAAAAATGACCCAGTGAGAGCTGATGGTAAAATTAAGTGTCCCTGGCAAGGTGAATGACACAGAAATAAAGATAATGAGCAGTTTTCTTCCAAGCTTGCTTCTCTGCTCAGTAATGCCCTTGTTACTCTCTACTGGAATATATAGAGATGTGGAATGGACAGATAATTTTTTTCACTACAAAGTCATTTTCCCAAGAGAACAACAGAAAATGAACGGGTGTGATCTCACCTCTTCCTGGAAGAGATTCTGCCTGTTCTTCAGGGCTCGCAGCCTGTTCTGCTTGTCCTCATGTTCCAAGTGCTCATCCGGGGGGTGGAAGTAGCCGATGAGGTCCTGCAAGCTCAGACTCACAGACTCGATGGGCAAGTCAACGGTGGGCACCTTTGCTTTCTTGCTGAGTGCATCCAGGCCCCTGAAGCAAAAGCAAACACTTCTCTAGGTTAGTGATCCACAATTTCAGTTCAATGTATTTTGACTGGCAGATGATTTAACAGTGGCATCCTCTCTTATAGAAGGCACAATCAAAGGAATATGCAAGGCATCCTTTCTACCAGCCATAATGGCCATATTCACATTATAACTGTGTAACACAGTATCTAAGCATCACAGTGTATCCCAGACTGCAGCATCCAGAGTCATGCTTCTACAACAAACCCTGTTGGGTCAATGGAGAAATGGTCTAAATACAAAGCCAATTAATAGCACTACTTTAAGATGTAAGGCTGTATCTTCCCTGATCCATAACCCTGACATTTGATTGTTTGAGGTTGCTTTGGCTTTGGGTAAGGGATTATTTTAGGTTTTACTATCATTGACACTACCTGCTACTCTTTAATTCCTATCAGTTTAAAAAGAACATGCACTTATGGGGCTGAAGAGATGATTGAGCAGCTAAGAATGTTTACTGAGTTCTGTCCTAGCACCCACATCAGGCAGCCCACAACCACCTGTAACGCCAGTGCCAGGGGGTCCAATGCTCTCTCCTGGACTCTGTGAGCACATGTACTCACATGCACAAACCTCCACATAGATACTCAATTTTCAAAATTAAAACTAAATCTTTTAAAAGTTGCACTCACCAACTCAGAGGTGAGATTATTTGTACAAGATGGAGCCTGAGAAGATTCCATCATCTACAGAGGAGGGTCTCAAAGAGGCCTGAACCCTCCATGAGGAGCTCCTGGCTGTTAATGGTCACTTGTGAAAAGGGACTCATTCTATTCAGTGGTGTTGCACAGGTAAGTTCCCCCTGCTCCCGTAAATAAATGTGCACTCTTGCTCAATGGGTCTCAAAAAGAATAAATAAAACTAGATCAAAACACATACATATGAAATTGTTGAAAAATTAAAATTAATATTTTTATATTATTAATGACAATTAACTTAGCTTTGCATTTTATAACACTCAAACTTTTATTTTAAATGTATGGTCATTCATATAAAGATTGATAGTGATGTTGGAATAGTTGAATTCAGCTTTTCAATCACTAGAAATAGTAAAACTACAACTACTCCTGACAACTATGCCAGCTTACAGGGAATGAAGGGAGCCCTGAGTGGCTGAAGTCCTGAGTCAAAGTATATTGTTGACATGGGCACAGCCATGTCCAGGACTCCAGTGCCTCAGCCCCATGGGAGTGGCAAAGTCTTGCCCATGTGAGACTCAGAGGGATGACAAAGCTCTCCTCAGGGCAAGTCTGAGTGTGAGTGTTTGTGGACGATTGACCATGGAGTGCAGAGACTAACAATTGCAGCTTCCTCCTTCTGGATGTTTACAGCCTGAGACTGCTGGCCTGCAGAGACCTCCTATAAAGACTAGCCAACCCCTCCCTCTCTGTGCTGTACCTAATAAGCTGAGGTTCTAGTTTCGGTAGCAGACCCCACCTGGTCTCAACTTTACTGTATGTATGTCAGTGTGTCTGTCTTTTCTTCATTTCCTTGAGCCCCCAATCAGGGTTTCAGAACCCAAGCTTCATGGGTTGTGGTACCAACTGAATTAAAACCAGTCCCAAGTTTCATTACTTCCACATGGTTTTCAGATTAATACAAGCAATCAGTATTGTGTAGACTGGTACAGCAATGTAAGTGATACAGAACAGAAAGCCAAATAAAAAATGCAATGGGAAGCTATTCCCACATCATTTCTAAGTCAGCTGATGAAATTCAAGGTTTAAATGAGGCAGACAAATGGAGTAAGTATCAGATATATGTAAGGGTGAAAGCTGTGTGCATTTTTAGATATAAGCACACATAACACACACACACACACACACACACACACACACACACACACTTATACACACATACATTGAGAGCAGTCAATGAAGCTGGAAATAATAAAATGAACTTTAATATAATTTTGGATGGGAAAAGTCTTTTGAATGTTGGAAAGCAAAACAGAAAGATTGATTAAGGCAGGAACTATGAAAAATAATTTAGAATTATTTTTCCTAACTAATAAATTATCAATGATACAACTACACAGGAAATTAATGTCTCTAATGTAAAAAGTTGTTAATACTCTAGTAAGAATATTAATTAATAATAATGTAATTCAAAAAACAAATGTAAAACATATCCATTCTCATAATTAGTAATTTTTAAAGTATATATTACTGCAAATTTTAAATAGTACACATTTTAAAGTTTTCATTTTATTTAGTTTCATATGTGTGTGGGTGGGTGTGTTTGTGTATGCATATGAACTGTGTATTTATAGAAAATATTTTTTCTATCAGGTCTGCAAACTTAAACAGAGAAAGGCCTTCCATCCAGGCTATGTCATATATTACCATGCTGTTGCCAGAAAACAGTGTGGCCACAAGGTTAATTTGATTCATGGATAAGAAACTGTTTCAATTATTAAGTAGAAAAATGTATTAATTTTAAGAATCACAGTATTTTTAATGTTGCTTAAAATTCATCAACTATCTAGATATCATTATCCTTACTATATCACAGAATTTAATAAGTTCACCAAAAAAATTATAAAATCATCATGACTGATAGCTTTCTATTAAATTCATGTTCCTTAACCTAAGCTACAGTTTAAATTGTATTATATGAGCTTAGCAAAGCATATATTTATGAGGCTAGTGTGTTTTAGAATGATCTGTTTGTAAATTCAGGAAGAAAGCCAAACATAAAGTATCAAACAACTATCACTATACAAATTACCTTATGAATCTATTGAAGAGGAACACTGTGCTCCGGATAACACGGGCTGTGCGGGACTCTTCATGCTGAGATCTGGATATGTTCAAGCCATCATCCATGTGGCCTTCATGGTGCATAATGGCCTGCAGGAGCATGCGAACAATGTTATTTTTCCAGCAAGGTAGCTATAGAAGGAGATATGCTCTTGCCCTGTGGGTGGCATAGACCCATGACCCCAGTCACTCAGGAGGCAAAGACAGGAGGAATGCAGAAAGGCCTCAAGCCTAGCCTGGGCAACCTAGTAAGAGTCTGTTTCAAACCGAAATAATAACGTGAGCTAGGCGTATAGCTCAGTGGTAGAGTGGTTGCCTAGCATTGGAAGAACCTGGGCTCAATCCCAAATATTCCTCCTTGACAAAAATTAATTAAAAAAAAAAACTCAAAAAGCTGAGATGGGGGAAAGGACCTGGAAGGAATTAAAATCAGAGGAGTGAGCACGATAAAATGCATTCATGTATGGATGAAAAATTAAATCATTTTTAAAAGTTGAGCCATAACAACAAATGGAATCAAAACCAGGCAACAGATACAATTGTGCTCAGAGTAAATAATAGGAAAGTCCCTGTACAAAGCAGCCATTCAGTACAGTGACTACATTATTGTTTTAAAGATGGTTCAATAAATACTTTGAGCTGAATGAAACAACAGTAAAACATTGCCCTGTATCTGCAATCAATGATTTATCCACAGCCTAACAAACAACAAACCAACAGAGAAGGCATTTCATTCCATTGCTATGTAATATGATCAGCTGTATCATGAACTGATCGATCACTAAGCACTAACCCCTGACTCTGAGGTATCCACACTAGTTCTTTGTTAGTTTTCATATATTGAACATTCCATGAGAGGTAAGTGCACATATCTTCAGTGAACAGGTCAATGAATTTTCGAAAGAGATCACACACACACACACACACACACACACACACACACACACACGTGGCCAACACCTATATCACAAAGGCAGATACTAGAATAGTTTCAGATCTCCCCAGGGCTTCCTTTCTGTCCTGCCTATCATAGTGCTCACCACCTTCCACGCTTTCAATGGCTCCAGTCTATTGGCTGCACAATGTATTTGAGGAAAGAGACCATATGTCCCTTCAAATATGGCTTCCTTCATTCAACACTTAAGCAAGGTAATTAATTCAGCACTCTGAATAAATTGTATAAACCATAATCTGTAACTGGAACTAAAATTATTAAGTATCTTGAGTAAAGAGGAACCCATGAAGCAAAAATCAATGAGACACAGATGTGTATTCAAAGGCAAGATGCTTCTCTTGCTTGCTTTTATTAATAGAAAAATACTAAAATAATGTATTAAGCCTCAAAAAAGTCTCACAAAAAGGATAACTAACAAAGTAGAAAGATGGAGTTGATGAAGATAAAAACCGAAGACACTAGAAAGGATGAGTAAATCTAAAATTTGATTCTCTGAGAAGATATATAAATACACCTCTCCCAGACTTGGCTGAAAATAAAATAGGAAGGAAGAAACATAGAATACAGGAAACTGACTATGCTAATAGAATATTATGGGAATCTATTCCAATGGCAAAAACAAACAGCAGAAGGCCTGACTAATCCAGAGGAATAATCAACAGAGATGGCCATGGTGGCACAACCTATAGCCCCAGCTATTCTAGAGGCTGAGACAGGAGGATCACTGGAACCCAGGAGTTAAAAGATAGCCTGGAAACAAAATGAGACTCTATCTCAAAAACAACAGTAAGCCCTGGTATTCTAAAGGTGCTCCGTTCAACTGATTATAAAATCAATTACACATAGTTCATTTTCAGGAAACACTGGAGGGATAATTTAAGGCTCACAAGCTAGAAGACCTTGGGACTGGATGGTTTTGTACATGAATGCTGATACAGTTTCAAAGAGCTGATATCCTAGACCAGTGGATGGAGAACTTTGTCTTGTCATCTGTCTTTCTAAATCTGTGATCTGGGAAAAGTCATTCCATTTTCACAGTGGTTGAAGAGAGACCAATGAAGAGTGATGCTTCAGGACATGTGGAAATTAATAAACATGTAAATTATATGAAATGAAAACTTAATGACTCAAAAAGAGAATTTAATTTTCCTCATGAATATATGTAATAATTCTGAATAAAATAAGTTAATTAAATCTAGTAGGATTTTACCAGAATAATGGGCTATGGTCAAGTAGGGTTTAATTCTATGAATGTAAGGATTCTTTAGTAACTAGACGTCTGGTATCTTAATTATCTGAACAAATTAAAGGAAGCTAAAACATGATTTTCATTGGCTTTAACTTATAAAACTCAAAAATCACTGCTATTTTTTTCTTAAATACCACCAAAAAGTAATAAAATGAGACCACTTAAAAATAAAAATAATCTCAATTATCTTAAGGATGCAAAATACTGTAAGATCTATAAATCAGGAGTGAAAATTCACAGTGAGGAAACATGTAAAAAAAAAAGCTCAAATGAAAATAGGCCAAAATTTTACAAAAGCTAGATGAAAAATTTTTAAAGAAGGAGGATACAACAACAACAACAACAACAATAATAATAATAATAATAATAATGATAATAGAGAGGTAGATATAGATGATAGATAGATGATGGATGGATAGATGGATGACAGATGATAGATAGATAGATAGATAGATAGATAGATAGATAGATAGATAGATAGACAGACAGATAGAAACTGAAAGAAATCTCAAAACAATTGAAAAAAACACAGAAGTTAACTTGGGAGGAACATGGCCAGACAAGAGAAGAACAAACATGTTTGTGAGTAAAAACCACGGTAGGTGCACCAAAGATGGAGTAATACAGACAGCTAGCATGGATTCAGCTATCAGTCTATCATCCCTTGTTTTCCTTCTGAGGCTCTCCAAAAGCAGCATTAGCAATTCAGAGTCTGTGATATTTAACTGTGATTATCAGTTTGCTTGGGTTAAAAAGCACCTAGGGAATTAATGAGGCATGCCTTGGAGTGTATTTATAAGGGCATTTCCAGAGAGGATTAACTTGCAGGATATTTCACATTCAAACCATAATACTGAGTAAATCAAACCACACGGGAAGTGTACGTAAAATTTAGTAAGCTCTATATAAATGCTTTCAGAACACAGACAGTATACAGTGGACCATCTGGGAAGGGAAGATCATCCAATGTGATTATTCGAGTTTAGACTATGAAGAATGCACAAACCTTGGGCTGACAAAACAAGAGTCATACACTAAAAAGAAGAACCAGCCTATCCAAAAACACAGGTGTGAAAATCTGTGATTTTCTGGGGAATGACAAGAAGTTTGCTTATGTGATACACTAGATCAGTGAAATGTGATGTCTAGAAATTTGGAAAAGGAGCCAGGAGTGGTAGTGCATGATTTTAATCTCAGTACTTGGGAGGCAGAGGTAGGCAGATCTCTGTGAGTTCAAGGCTCTCCCAGACCACATAGTTTCAAACTTCCAGAACTACATAGTGAGACTCTTTCTCAAAAAAAAAGGAAGGAAGGAAGGAAAAGAAAAGATGAAAAGAAAAAAAGGAACAGAAAAAAGAAACTGAAGAAAGGTTTAGAATGGAGGCAGGCCTAGACTGGTACCACCACCAAGAAGTATGGTGGCTATCTTGTGAGCAAGAGGAGGTAGCAGTAAGAATGAAGGACAAAGAAAACTAGGGAGAATAACATAGAATCTAGAAGACAGTGTATTTATTCCCCTAGTATTTGAATGCATGAATCCCCAAATTGTAATCCTATACATCACTGAGAAAACCCCCACATCCTAAAAAAAAAAAAAGTCAATTATGGTGGCATTGTTGCACGTGGTCCAAGGGGTTGGAAATCTCATAAGTCATTAAAAGTAGTTATTATTACATCCTCAGATAAAGAAATGGGATCTGAAAGACTGGGCACTGGGTTTGCATGCATAGACAAGCAACTTGATCATCAGAATCTTTTGGATGAAATACTAAATAAACAAACAGTACAATTTGACCTTTAGAGTGTAAAATAATGAACCCTGGGAGGTGGCTGAAGCCTTTGTTTTTGTGCTCCTGTTTTTTCCACTTATGAACATGACTGACGTAAGCTGTGCTTGTGTATGATCTTACCTTACGCTGTATGGTTCCCATTCGTGCTGATTTCACATCCACAGACTGGTAGGTTAGCCACAGGCCTGTATCCACATGTTGTATATAGCAAATGGAGTCTCCGTACTTGATTTCTGAGGTTCCCATGCCATCAACTTCTTTTCTCACCCCTACATCCAATTTTTCCTATGTATAAAAAGAGAATAGCATATATTGTAAAAAAAAAAAATCATTAGTCTATATCAATAGAACACTATCTTGTAAAAAACACGCCTTGAAATTTTCAGTTTTCTCAGGGCCCCTGAAATACTGGCAATGGCTAAGTATTATTCTTTTGAGATTCATTTTATTTTTAACAATTTGCACATATGTGCATCTGAGGTATGTATGCAAGTGTCTCTGTAAAGCAGAAGTGGGCATCAGAGACCCAGGATCCGGAGTTAGAATTATCTGTGAGGCCCCCTACTGGGTGCTGGAAACAGAACTTGGGTCCTCTGGAAGAGCAGCCTGTGCTCGTAACTGCTAAGCCATCTTTCTAGCATAGGACTCCGTTTTATCACCTATAAATAAAAGTATCTCCTTATAGGATCAGAAAAAAAATGAGACCAGACTTGAAAAAATTTGAACATATCTGGAATTTAAAAAAAAAAAAAAAAAACCTTCAGTCAGCCTGATCGACTTCGGATACAACTGTGAAGATGTGGATGTGAATGAGGCTGTTAGTGACAGCTGAATTTTATTTCTCTTGAATTGTACTTTTGGTTCCTGCAATTTCCAAAGTGAACTGCAGAATTTTGTATTACTAAGGAGGGCTGAGATTCAGAAACTGACTAGGTCAAATTCTTCAAACTTCTTTTGAAGATGTATGTGCGCGAGTGTGGGTGTGCATGTGCGTGTGCGTGTGCGTGTGCGTGTGTGTGTGTGTGTGTGTGTGTGTGTGTGTGTGTGTGTGTGTGCATGTATACCTTGGATATGTAGTATAACAGAAAAAGGTAATAGATCCCTTGGAGTTACAGGCATCTGTGAGCCACCTGATGTGGGTGCTGGGATCTGTATTCCCATCATCTGCAAAACCAATAAGCACTATGTATTTTGTTGTTGTTGTTTGTTTTACCTGCATGTATGTCTGTGTACTATGTGCCATCCCTGGCACCCATGGAGGCCAGATGTAGGCACTGGATCCCTGTAACTAGAGTTACAGACAGCTATAGGCCACCATGTGGATACTGGGAATCAAACCCACATTCTCTGGAAAAGCAGCCAGTGCTCTAAGCACTGAGGCCATCTCTCTAGTACTATGAATATTCCTTAAAATAACAGTTTCAAAGCTGAATGGACTCCTTCCTGTTTCTCATACATGCCTTCACTAAATAACTATCCTTTCTAAATTCAAGTTATGTTCCTTTTAGGTCTTTGGTTATTTGATTATTGATGAACTGACTCTCTCTCTGTGTGTGTGTGTGTGTGTGTGTGTGTGTGTGTGTATGTGTGTGTGTGTGTGTGTGTGTGTGTGTGTGTGTGTGTTCACATATGTGTGGGTATGTGTTCACATGTGTACAGGTGTGCTTGCTTGTGGAAGCCAGAGAATAATCTGGAGTAACATTTCCCAGATATTGCCCCCACTTATTCTTTGAGATGGGGTATAACACTGGTGAAGTTTACCAAGGAAGCTAGGCTGGCTGGGCAGCAAGCCAAAGGGATCTGTCCATCTCTGCCTTTCTAACACTGGGATTACAAACACATGCCACCACACCCAGATTTTCTTCTTTTTCATGGCTCCTGGGAATCAAAGTCACGTCCTCATAGCACAAGGTAAGCAGTGGACTGACAAAGCCCATCCACTACATCAATGCTTATTTAAGAATAGCTTAAAGTAAAAATTAGTTGAGTTTTGAGTTTTGTTTTATCTAAAGGATCCATTCAAACAAAACAAAAGGGAAGGCCAAATATGGTGGCACACACCTATCATCTCAGTACTTGAGATCCAGGTGCAGTAGTATTACTTCAAGTCTAAGGCCTGCCTGCTCTAGTAGGGTCTAGGCTAGCCAAGGCTACATAAGGAGTCTCTGTCTCAAAAATCAACACAAAACAAAACAAAATGTCACAGATTCTTCATGTCATCTGATTTTTTTCTTTTCTTTTTTTTTTTTAGTGATAAATAATGACCCTTTAATGACCCTAAAATGAGTGAGTGAGCAGATAAACTTTGAATTTAAATGAGTTTCAATTATCAATACAGAACGGTCAAAGCTGTCTCAAAAGCATACAATTATCAACTAAGTCGAATGAACTATTATGCAAATAACTTGGAACAATAGTCTAAGAATCAGCAATAAAACAGATATACTATTGTAATTTCATTCTATCAGATGAGATAGAGAGCTAATCTACTTATGCCAACCCTGTCAATGGGAAAATTAAATTCTGGAAAATATAACAATGTAATTATCTCTTCAAAAGAAAACAATGAGGCTCTAAACATTTTTTGTCTTTTATCTGGGAAATGAGTTTAGAGCCTAATTATTTGTGTTTTGAGAAGTCCCGCCCTCATTAGCTGCACAGTGAGGCTTTGTTGACTTTCTATTGCAATGGGCCATGGCCACTGTGAGGGGTTTTAATGAGGAGATTTCCCAAGGACCGTGTTCTGGTAGTGACATTGACCCTGGAGTCAGGTAAGAACTTGCTGAAGTGACATGAGACAAAAGAAACACCCAGGGTCGTGGCTCTTCTTTCTGTCTTCATTTCCTACAGCTCAGACTTAGGAGAAATTCAGACGAAAATAATCTGGCATTCCAGCACAGGATCTGGGCTGGATATCTCTAGGTTTTGGGCCTCAGACAAAGGATTGAAACAGGAGCTCCCAGGGATTTGAAAACGTATCAAGGTATCTTTAGTTACAACGATGAAAATCAGAAATACACTGTCTGTGTGGAAGGAAGAGTGAGCCCATGAGTGCCTGTGGAGGTCGGAGAAGGTGTGGTTCTCCCAGAGATGCAGTTATAAGCAGCTGGTAGCCTCCTTGTGTGGATGGGTTCTGGGAACCAACCTCCTACCCTCTACAAGAGTAATGCAGGTTCTTAACTGCTGAACCATCTCTCTAACCCAAGGAGCTTCTATTTCTATGGGAATAAAGGAAAGAACGGTTTGTTTACTAGGGGTCTAGTTTGGGAAGTTCTCTATACTGATCATTGACAGATCAACTCTACTGTGACTCCCCCTTCCCATAATGCATCTGATTTTAATCACATGAATGCCCAATTATGCATAGGCATAAGATGGAAAATAGGAGATTCTCCCTAAAAATTCACTTGGGAAAACAGTTTGTTTTACTGCACATGTACCCCAAACCTGTCTAGGCTAGAATGACCTTTCAATCCTTCTAGGTTTGAACAGACTCTAAGTTTAGTGGTCGTTAAGGTGAGAAGAAATGTATCCCATCACCCAGAGAGAGGTATGCCTACAGCTCACCAGAGGTAGGGGTCCCATGTTGTTAACAAGTTGCTGGCCGCATTGTTCAGAAAGGGATGTACATGCATACTATTTCCAGGTAAAGATCCCAGGCTTCCAAGTACATTATTGGAAAGAAAGTGTGTGTATCCAAACCCAGCAGAGCCTTTGATTGCTAAGCCACCCCCTGTGCTCACCTGCCTCAAGTGTGTTGAACAACAGTAAGTACAGAGTTTCAGGAGCCAAGAAGAGAACATAGGATAAAAGCTTCCATCAGAAGGTGAGCCTACATTATTACAAGTCAAGTAAACAGACTAGGAAGTGACAGCCATGTGAAAACTCCACACTGACTTCCCTTTCACAAATCAAGGGCTTTTCTATTGAGTTACTATACTTTAGAAAATGGAGATTAGCAGTACAAGTCTTCCCATGGGTAACTACAAAATTTTGGAAAAAAATAAGAAAAGCAGGGAGGGACTAGACAGTAGAACTCTAAAAAGACAAACAACTCTTAGCCTGGCTTATGGATGCCAGCCTTTTCCTCGAGGTATACCTGGCTCTATAAATACCACTCAAGCAAAAGGAAGCAACTGTCTCTTTGGCTTGAGGTATCAAAAGAGACACACTCGGATGCAGAGGGGTTTAAAATTTTACAGAAACCCATCCCAATTCCTGTCAACCAATAACCTGTGCACACAGGGAGGAGGGTGGGAACAATGGCAGCAGGTGGGATGTAGAGAACTAAGTAGAAATATAAGCAACTATTCACTGCCAAAGACAGGAGCAGGTTTCAGTCTCACAGAGTGACCTGCCTGCAAAACTGAAGTAAGTCTTCAGAGAAAAAAAGCAAACTTCAGTCTCCACACTGCATCACTTCTGATGTCCATTATAGTGTCAAAGTTAATGTCAAAAAAGGGAAGTGTGTGTGTGAGGGAACAACATAAATGTGGATCCTGATCATACAGCTAGAAGACAAAGAACTTAAGGTGGTTCATTTGTTTATGCTTTCATGTCTATGAGATGTGTATGTGTGTATATGCATGTTTGTGCATGTGTGTGTGAGCACATGTGTAGGTATACTTACATGTGTGTTCTTGTGCATGTGGAAACCTAAGTTTGATGTGGTGAATTATCCTCATTGTTCTTCCACCTGATTCACTGAGGCAGAGGCTCTCAATCAAAGCTATAGCACACTGGTGAGCCTAGTCTCCACAGCCACCTTGCTCTGGGGATCCCCGTCTCTGTCTTCCAAGCCTGGGAACCCACAAGGCATCTACATAGGTTTTGGGGATCCAAGTTCTGGTCCTCATACCTGTGCAGCAAGCACATTAGCCACTGAACCATCTCCCTACCCACTAAAGCATCTATTATACATATAAAACATATTTAAACGCCAAGAGGAAAACCCTTTACACACACAAGGAATACACAGATAGGTGATCTCTGCCAGAAAATACAATGTACATTTAAACACACACACACACACACACACACACAGAGAGAGAGAGAGAGAGAGAGAGAGAGAGAGACTGATAGCAATAATCAGAATATTGGATTACCTGGATATCACTGGAACTGGAAGACAAAAGGTCAATGAAATTGAAATAATACCAGCAGGGATATCTAATCTGAAGATCATATGAATACCACAAGTGCTCTACCTGCCAGACATAGTGGCTCATATCTGTAATCTCAGTATTGGAATGCTGGGACAAGGGAACTGCTATGAGTTTGAGGCC